TATACATATATATATATATATATTGCTTAAAATTTTCTATATTTATTCAGTACTCAATATCGGAGATACTGTGAACATTTCTGGCGGAGTGAATTGCGTCATGGTGGTCTTTTTCTCACAGACGGTGCCCAACTGACCCTAATCGACTGTGTAGTCAACAAAATCAAAAACAACACGCATGCGCAAAATTAAAAATATAAAAATTAAAAATATAAAATAGCAACAATTTACCCATCGCACCGTGTAAATAAGATCAAGCCCTACCATATAGGCACCTTCAAGAGATCGCTAAAAAAGAGCATAGCATGAATAAAAAGGGCCTTAAACTTGATGAAAATAATTTTTTATAATCTAAATGTTTATGTTATTATTACGAGGAAAGATTAAAGTATTTGGGGGGTATTTTTTTACATTTCTTAATCGTTCCTATCACGTCCGAAATTTTCATTAAAATCTTGTGCTTTTAGTCAGCAAAATTGACAAGATAATCAATCAAGTCAACCATCTTTTTCCATTTTATATTAAAAAAATGAAAATCTCAGTTTGAAATTCTTTTAAAAATTAATTATAATTTTTTCAAAATTTATGTTAAGAAAATTAGAAATTATAAAGTTTATTTAAAATATTTTGAAACAAACATTACTTTTGGTGTCACTTGTGACTCACAGGTGATGAGTAATGATTTCATCACATATTGACAGCTTACGTGAGGAAAAGTTATCGTACAGAAGGACAGAAATGACATAATTATTTAGATTTAAGTGAACCAATTATTTACCTCGTTATTTTTAAGGAAAACTTTCAGCGCTCTATTTTTTTTTTTGTACTTAGCTTTCACATTTACGTTTATGATGCTTTATGGAAAATATACTATAAAAACATTAAAATAAGACTGTTGAGAGTGAGATTAAATTTCATAAGAAAGGTATCTAATTAATTTATAGGTACCTTTCTTATGAAATTTTATCAGAAGTGTACATAAAATACTATAATTTATGTACATTTATTACATTTTACTGTGTTATTTGTATTTAGATTGATTTTATTATTAATTTTGATATTTCATTTATGGAAAAATTTCATAACTGAGATAATATAAAAATAAGATCATATAAATTTCATAAGATGATACTGATACTTGTACGTACCCTTCTCAGTTGAAATTGAAAAATCAAATTAACTTCTCCACACGTGTTTAGCAAAAATAAGAGAACAGAGAACAACCCTTAACTCAAATAACGCGATTTTTTATTGTATTTTTGTTGGTCTTCAGTACATTTGAATTACAGCCATTTTATGGACACAAAAGCCATCTGGAATTATTTTTTTATACTGTTCGGCTCTTCGGATTGTTATAAGCTATACAACTTATAATGCTAAATGATAGATGTACTTAATAACACCATTGACTAAAATGAATGCCATTTTCACTAATTTTAGAATATTTAACAACTTTAATGTAAAAATAATAAAATAATTTAAGAAATAACAAATAATTGTTTTAAAAATTCATTTTTCATGGAAAAGTTTTTTGGTTGCGGACAGTATTATCCATATTCATAAAAGCAACTAAAAGCATTTGAAATTAAATAATATCTTTGTTTTATTGAGTTTTGTATGTTACAATTCAGAGCTGATTTTCAGGTAGGGGGGGGTCCAATTAAAAAAAAATACATGATTTGCTTTCCTCAAAGCCTTGTACTTTTAACTAATATAATCAATTAACTGAATGGTATTGAATTTCCAGAGTTTTCATAAAATTAGTTGCGGGGGAGTGGGTAATAAATATAAAAAAATATTTTTGCCATGACTTTAAAAAAGAAAACATATGTATAATAATTTCCATCATTTGTGAAGAGTTTCTGAAAGTTTCACTAACAACCGACAATTTTTATTTTTGCAAGATTTTCCAAATTAATGTGTCATACAAAAAAAAACGTGCTAAAATTAAATGTAATTTAGTTGTTCCGCTGATATAAAGAGAAACAAAGTCTTTTTTAATCAAAAGTTAGAATGTTCTAAAAAGAAGAAATTTTTTTTTAAATAATTAAAAATACTTTGTTCTTTCCTCTTCATAATAACATAAACATTTAGACGATAAAATTTTGTTTTCGTCAAGTTTGGCGTCTTTTTCATCATGCTATGCTCTTTTTTTTTAGCGATCTCTCGGAGGTACCTACATAAATATATATCCCAAAACTTTACATCCATTTCGTCATGTAAAATAAAACGCAAACGATTTCATGTTCAATATAATCAAAAATAGGGAACAAAAAACAATTATAAGTGAGGTTAGTTGTTGGTTCAGACAGGGGCAGATCCAGCATTTTTAGTTCCTCAGAAAAAATCTCAATTCAAAATTTTAAATTCTGTGATCATATATATATTAGGCTATAGAAATGAATAGAGATTGTTCATATATATATATATATATATATATATATATATATATGTGTGTGTGTGTGTGTGTGTGTGTGTGTGTGTGTGTGTGTGTGTGTGTGTGTGTTATATGCGCGGTACTTAGTGAAAAGCGCTCAATATCAGTGATAGAGCTAACAATAAGTTGTACGGATATGAGTTTGTGACCCTGGGTTTGCGATCATTAGACAAATTGATTTATTTTTTAAAATTGGATCTATTTATGCTTGTTTGACTATGTTTGGAGGTGGGAGGGGGAATTTGACCTGTGTTTGTTTGGAGTGGTACGATAATACGCATAGACACATACATACAGGTGTACGCATTTTAGTTCACACCAACACATCAATATAAGCAATTCGAGGTTAGGCGCAGATATATGTCCGTGCGTTCGGGCATACATACATACGCAATTGTAATTCTATTTCGGTGTCGAGACCTTAGCTTTTTATGTGTAGCGATGTTCGTTTCAACAAGGAGCGGGTAGAGGTGTTCTTGACGCTTTTTAGATCTACAGCATGGGCCGTCAGGGGAACTTTCACTTCCTCACACACACATGTGTAGACGCGCACATACACTACAATTGGTCTGGGCCTTTTCACTGCCACTTTGGTTAAGCTGGGTTCTGTTTGTGGTTATGGTAATGATGATGTTTGCATGAACTGTGATGGATGGAAATAATTGCAAAATGCAGGCACGAAAATAAATATCTACTATCACAGTTCATACCAAATGGATAATACCTAAAACAAAACTGAACACAACCAGGAATGAAACTAAAAGAAAAAGGTACCAACACTACTACCACACCCACTAACGCAACCACCACCATAACAATCAACACAAACCGATAAAACTACCAATACCGTTACCTACACTACCATCACTCCTATCTTTCACTTTCCGATCTTTCACTTCATAACCATCTCCTCTACCATCAGTACTGCCTTTTAACACCGTCATTGTTTTTATTATCGTCATTATTGTTATATTATGTGTATTATTATCATCATCATTATCATGGTTACCACAATTATTATCATAGCTACGACTGTCATTATTGCCCCCCTTTTTATAATTCCGTCATTAAGGCTAAATTTACCATTAACACATCAATATCTATTATTAACATTATCAATAATAATTAATATTTCAGTTATTATCACTACCAGCATAACCACAACCGTCAACAACACACAAGCAGTTAGCGTTGAGAATACAAACACACACACACACACACACACACACACACACACACACACACACACACACGCACGCACGCACGCACGCACGCACACACACATATATATATATATATAAATTTAAATTTGCGTTTTCTTTTATTTATTTGATATATATAATTGTAAATTATTCAAACTTTTAGATTCAAAATGTGATTATATAGCGTTTATTAAAGAGGATTTACTAAAGTCAATTTTCATGGATTCTTATTTGCATAAAGGTTCACGATTTTATCATGTCTTTGTGATCATACAAATGAACAAACGTATTAAATCAGTCTTCACTTATTATAGCTTACCTTGTCTACTTTGCAACAAAAAATATTTTATAAGAAATCTTTCAGAAATTTTAGTGGGGGCGTTTACCCTCTACGCCCCCCCCCCCAACGATCCGCCTCTGGTTCAGAATACAATCTCTAGTTATAATACAGATTTTCTTTTCCTCGTGATATCAAACGTCAAACTTATTCAAGCTTAAGGTTTTACTCGGCTCCCTTATTGTGGCTTAGGTTCGTTTTATTCACACAATAAATAATACAGTTAAAAAAAAAATCAATGCTGTTTTTATTTTTGCAGAAAATAGGAATGGCTTCCAAAATTCTGGATAACAGAATATAGCAGGAAACTTTGCTTCTAGCGCTGCCAAATAGCACACGCAAGGTGAGCCTGCCATTTACGCACCGGATTCACACAATGTAGCAGATTGGATTTCGACTGACTACTTTTACATCACCGACATTCCAACAACAATATTCAAAGAATATTGGCATATTCGTGCATCGAACTGCTCGTGTGCGTGTAACAAACATCCATGCGTACCTAAAGTGGCCTGTCTACCTGATATGCGAATCTATGCGAATTTATCCACTTGTCTATCACAGACCCTGCTCTGTGAGCATCGGCATACGACCTGTCTGTTTTGTTATGTGATCATTTTATTTTTATTTTATGTTATCTATCGAAGGACCTGCTTAGTGGAGATATCAATAATGAACACTTTCAGAGCCAGAAATCAGTATTCATTACTAAGTAAATGCGAAGTATTTGAATATGACATACACAGTAGGCAGTTATTGGTATTAGAGACGTTGGTTACGTTAGCTAATCATCTTAATTCTAAATCAGGACAGTCATGTACTTCTGAAATCTTAGATACCTAAGTGTTGTAGATATACGTCTTTAGAGACTATATTTACTGCTCAATAAAATATATTTAGCAAATAATTCCGTTTTTTTTTTGGTTCCTCTTATGAATCGGTAATCGAAACAAAGTCTTTCATTTATTTTTTAATAGATTCTTATAATATCGTGTGAGTATTTTTAATGTGCACGTATGCTTGAGGCTACATCACGTTGAAACAGCTGTTCTCATACGATCACCGAAGTTAAGCAACGTCGAGCCTGGTCAGATGGATGACCTCTTGGGAATATCAGGTGCTGTAAACTTGGATGTGTGGTTGTTATAATGGATAATGGTTTGGAATTGTAAATTGGAAAGCCGAGTTCCAATTCCCTTTGTGTTCTTTATATTCACTTGTGCGCAAATACCTTAGGGAAAGGCATGAATCCACCTCTTCCCTTCACCCAGCTATGGGTTAATTAGTAAGACTTGTTTCACTAAAATCATTATTATCTAAAAAAAAAAAATCTTATCATCTAAAAATATTTTCTGGTTTTATATAACCTGCAAAAGGTTGATAAGCCGTAAAAAACGAATCATTCAAAAATTATTCTTGGTATGCGTTATGGACTGATAGCTAAGTGATGGTTAGTGAACTTACAGTAAAAATAATCTCACTTGATGTTATTAGTATGATCGGGCATCCCCTCCCATTTTTTGCTCTTTTGTTCTTAACCCTTAAACAGTGGGTAAAGATTACACGAATGTGCACACCAAACGGTTAAAAAAGCGAAATAAAAATTATTTTGAAGAGTCGCTTATTTTCGCTTTAATTACACGCAAAAAATATAAAAATGATACTTTAACACTTCCTATTATCGACAAGCAATTTTTTAAAATTAAATTAGTTTATTATCAAACAAAAATATTTAAAACAAAATATTTATTTTGCTTTAAATTTTATCTCAACAGTAATTATCTAATAAAAATTGAGATTCAGGAGGTCAAAACATTTTCAATGTTTCCAAAAGCGACTCGATTATGCCGTTGTCTCAAATGGCTGTCGATCATAGGAAAGTACCCATGTCTTTTTTTATGTACCAAGTGGTTAAAAAATCAATTTATTCTCTGAATGAATTGGAAAGTATGTAAATACATTCGTATGAAATTTATTCTTGTCATGAGTCCTGTGTACCATATATACTGCCAAGATAGTAATAATGGTGTATCTTAGGCAAGATAGCCTTACGAAGTCCATCCCTCTTCCGGCTGGCTTAGAATTCAAAGATTTCTTTCTTCGAGACTGATTGCCACCTCAAAAGAACCCAGTCTGCTCTGCTATTTAACCCATAGCTGGATGAAGATGGATTCATGCTTTTCCCCAGGGCATTAGCCGGAACTGAACTCAAGATGCAGAATTCATTTTTCGTGCCAATAACTGTCCGTGTCGTTTTCTATCACCAATAAAATCTATGGTCTTTTTCTTAAGGAACAACAACTATTAAATAAAGGGTTCAGTTTAAAATTCTTTCAAGATTACCAGTTTATATTGCTGTCTAAGAGCAGTATAAACTGGGTGGAAGTGGGAGGAAGAAACAGTTTCATGCCTCTCCCAAAGATATTTGTGTGAAAGTGAATGCAACAGAGTAGTCTGGAATTTAAATTTGCTTTGCTAATTCCACTTTCTGTACCAATATCCATTACACTATACAAGCATCCTCTCAATAAATAATTACTGGACATAAAAAATAAATCCAAGCAGTTTACAACAATTAAACTCCAGCAATGGGTGGATTTATAGTTAATTTGTCTGGATAATAAAAAGATTCCAAACAAGAGAAAAACAATTAAGAAAACAATTTTATTAGTTCCTCATACTAAACTAGAAACTAATTTTTATTTGCGATCAGACTTTACTTTGATCAAGTAAAGTAACGTAAGGGTTACTTTACTTGATCAAAGTAAAGTACCTATGGATTCAGTCATGATTATATTCAAATGGGAAAATCCTATCAAAATCCATTACAAACCTTTAAACAAAGTTGGAAAATATTTGCATTGTATAATTCTGGGTAACTTTACATTGCTGTTTACACATCTGGAGTCATACTGGTAGTGACGACTGGGGTCAGGCTAATCAAGTTAAACCCAAGTAGTCCAACTTCCAGGTGAGTGTTTCAAAGCAACAAAAATCTCTAAGAACACATCACTTGTTCTTGACTTCAGTTGGACCAAAAGTTGTGACACAAATGACATCAAGAATAAAATAATCTTTAATTGTTTTAATTTACTACTTTTTATAGTTTTATTTTAAATTCATAAGAAGGTGACTTAAATATTTTTTGTTGAAAGTGTTCATAAGAAAGTTACATGAAGAAAGAAAAATTAACATGGCTAGCAATTGTGAGATAGTGATTACATTCAATCCTGTTAAAGCCAAAAAGAAATACTTCTAATATCATGATTAATACTACAATTTTATGAAAACAAAGGCAAATTCTGTATATGATAATAGTAGTGTTCATATTAGCTGTTTCCTTATAAGGAAACATTTGGCAGTCATTAACTGCAATGCTGTCAATTGAGATTTATAAAATCTTTCTCTTAAAACAATTTTTTCAGAAAAATACCTTTCTCAAGTCCAGTAGCTGTTATCACTCTTTCCAATACTTATTTGAGGTAGTGTAGAAAATCTGCATCTTGATTATGTCATTATTTTCTCTTAGAGTTACATGTGATATCAATTTTAGTTGTTGCTGCTGTTGTTGCAAGAGATGGTGTTTTTGTTATTTGGTACAGTTCTTTCTTTGGGATTTTGTATGAGTCAATTAAGATAAATAAAGAATAAAAGCTCTAGATTTAGACTTAAATTCTGTAATCTGTTTGGTCTTTATAGCCTAATTGGTAGAAGGTAATGGACAGTCATGCTTCCTAAGGACAAGCTATGCAAGTTTGAATCTCACCAAAGGCTTAATTTTCATTTTCAATCTGCATTGCTGAGTAATGATGCTAGAATAACTGTTGGCAACAGAAATGTTGTTCTACAGAAGGATATTGAGAATACCATAGACTGAACATGTAAGCAATGACAAAGTTTTAGAGAAAATGAAAATGAAAAGGGTGTTTATACTTAACATCTGAAAGAGATAATTGAAATTTCTAAGGTACATAAAGTAAAGAGGAATTAGAAAATTTTGTATATTGAAGGGGGGGAGAAGGGTAGAAGAAAGTAGTATATAACCTACCTAACTTGTTTGTGCAAATGGCTGGCAGAACAGGGATTAGCAGAGATGGTGAAAAAAGAAAACTTTACTAAGAACTCTAAAGGACAGGGAATTGTGGGAAGCTATGATTGTCTATACCTGAAAGGACACATCCTATAGAAGAAGAATAAAAGCAATACATATACAAACTCCTAAGCATATGCACCAACACTTGAATATTAAATAACACAAAAAATTTGTTAAAACTGTTAAATTCAAAATTAAGAATTGTTTACATCCATTAAAAAAATAAAAACTTAGTCAAAAATAACAGTTGCCACATTCCTTTTAAATTAGGAACTTGAGCCATGTTCTTGATCTCATCAGATCTATGAAAGTTATCCTGAATGTCCATTCATCTACATCCTTTTGTACTAACGTGGGTGTTCCCCAGGGATCCATCCTTGGTACAATGTTGTTTTTAATCCTTCCTCATGACATCAGCTCTCAACTTGGCATCTACGCTGACAACACTACCATTTACTCCTGCCTTTATAGTAAGGCTGATCAGTCAGACAAGGTCAAAATAGGGCTGATGTACAAAATGACCTAAAGACTGTTGTTAACTGGGGAAAAAAAAAACGGCTTCTCAATTTTAACACCTCAAAAACTTCTCTCCATTAAACATCTGAGAAACCCCTCTCTGCCTTACATCAGTATGGCTGATGCTATCCTCCCAGAAAGTCACTCTTTGATCCTTCTTGAGCTAAGGTTCTCAGCTGACATGAGGTGAAAAGACTACATTGACTCCAACACTAGATCAGCTGCTAAGGAAATCAGTTCACTGTGTTGGGCAAGACAATTTTTCTCTTCAGAATCCATCTTGCATATATATAAGTCTACCATTGATCCATGCTTAAAATATTGCTGTCTTATATGGTCCAGTGTCTCTGCTATTTTTCTGGAGCTCCTTGATAAGATCCAAAGATGAATCAGCAATATTATTATTCCTGATCTCGTGGCTTGGATTCAGTCACTTGTCCACTGCCATAAGGTTGCCTCCCTGTGCCTTTTTTTATTTTGGACAGTATGAGATTAGATATAAAGGGCAACAGAATGTTTTTGAAAAATGTACTTAATGAACCATAGTGAGTATTAAAGACAGCAGAACCATTGTGAATTTCATTTGGGGAAATGATATTCACCCTGTAGAAGGACCAAAAGCTACTCAAGGTAGAGGGTTATATAAGGAAAAAGCCTTTGAAAAAACTGGAAACCCACTCCTAAACAAGAAACAAAGGGTAAACCTTTACTCCTGTTCAAAAAACCAGGGAGGAGTGTGAACCAGATGATAAGTGAATCTATCTACTCCTATTGAGAAAAGAAAAGTGATCTAATAGTAAAGAAAAATTCAGAGTTTTAGGCAAAACCATTAGAAGTATAGAGTTGAAGGAGACTTTTGAAGGAACTGGAAACCCAATCTTAAACAGGAAACAAGGGATGAACCTCCACGCCTGTTTAAAAGAAAGATGAGTCAATATAATATGCACTCTCTCAAATATAGTGGAACCTTGTGTCACAAATGCTTCTCATCATAAACAAATTTTCCAAATAAAAAACGTCTCAAGTGACAATGTCTCAAGTTATGAACATGCAAGCCAACGACTAGTATTGGCGGGAGAGTGTCAGTTACAGTGTAGCTTTTGGCCACTACAAATCCCTGTTCAAATTTGCCATGCCTTCTCTTGAATTTCATTATGCTATATAATTTTTAAAATAAAATATTAAATGAGGTACCATGAGGCCAAAGAATGATAATGATAGCAGTAAAGAGAAAAAAAAATGACCAGACTCACATTCGAGGTGAAGAAAGACATCATAGCCAAACATGAATATAGTGTTCATGTCTTTCATCTTGCTACTCAGTTTGGTATGGTAAAATCAACAATCTGTACTATTCTCAAAAATAAAGAGATGATCATGCTTTTATGGAAGGGGACTCTCCTTCCAAACAATAACATCTCTCCTCTTCCTCACCACCTTCCACTAATGCCATCAACTCTCCCTTTGTACATATACGGTAGAATTAAATTAAGTTTCTGTCTATATTTTATTTGTTT